TTCAAGAGTGTTCAAAAGCTCAGACCATGATAAATTCAATAAACCAAAAAGCATTAAATTCCATTCAGAATGAGCTAATTTACAAGCCTTTAAAGATAGTCATGTCAGTTGGCAACCTGGCAAATTTTGCCCCTTTGAATGAGATATAACTTGGCGGGGAATTCATTTTTCCAGGTTTTTTTTGTGGTTTTTTCTATGCTCATCTGGACTCTATTAATCCGCAAAATTTAAAAAAAATCTGAAATATGAATGGAAAAAAGTGTGCGGTTTGACGTGGAATGGCCTATATATATCTCTCAACTTTTCTTCTTTGACAGATATTCGTTGAAAAAGTGGCGCGACAGTTGGACGCTGTGATTGAGCTCGTTTGGATGCGTACAGAGGGTGAAAAACAAAATTGTTAACCTCGTAATTGTGGTGATAGTAGCCGAAGATCATTGGTGCAAAATGAGGTACTAGGTCAGTTGAGTAGACAACGCGGTACGTGTACGGGAGCTGAAATCTTTGCGTTTACTCGGGCAAATTATTTTAGTTGTTTCGCAAGATTAGCACTATTCCAATCCTTGTGAAAAATTGAAACTGCAATAGATGAACGCTCAGATTTTTGCATTTTGTAGTTCATCTTGTTGAGTGTTTTAAGAATTAAAGTGTAGGGCAAAAACGAGGTGAAAGGTCGAGTGTGAGTGGTAGTAAAGATTATTTTTAGTGTGCGATGCTGATTGTGGGGTCCAGTACTAAAATAACTAGTGATCGAGAGGGTGGGTCTTGGAATCTGCAGTGTGGTGTGTAATTAAACGGGGTTTGGTCAATTCTTTTTCATTTTTTCGGGTTTCATGCAATTTTTCGCTTCAAAGGAGTTCTTTATCGTGTATAATAATTATAATTAGCTATCTGTGGCAATATCAGGATTAATACAAAAAGAAAAAAAATAATGCTGCGTTCTGCTGTTTATGTTTCAGTTAGTAATTTTATCTCAGTTTTCTTCACCATTTGGGGAGACCTATTTATCTGAATGTAATTTGCTTTGGAAACTTCTCAGAGTGGAAGTTTTACTCTACCTCACTTTTACCTGTTAGGTCCGAGCTACTACAGTATCTGCTGCCATATCAAATTTTTGGTTTTTAATTTTCGTGAGTCAAAAAATGCCTTGTGACATACCATCTTTGGGAAATAAGAAAGATTACATACCATGTAGTTGTGAATTTTTGCGAACTCGCGATCAAATACCCGTGGTTCTCCGAATGTGACTAGTCTTATCTTATTAGGGTCATGAATTTTTCCAAATACAACTGCTCGAGACGCCAATGTGGCCAAAGAGCCACCCATTGATATCCCAGCAATCTGTGGTAATTATGGGTTGAAGTGAGCGAAACAGAAGTTTTTCAGAGTATATAAATGCCCAGTTTCAAGGTGCATACGACAAAAATTTGCTGCAAAAATTGGAAGCAGGAAAAGGAGTTTTTTGAACAACATTCATTGTATTATTTTACCCACCCATAATTCGTACTCTGGATGCTGTCGTGCTAGACGCAAAATGTCATCTTCAATGCCTTTTTCCCATAAAATTTGAAAAACTCGTGCATAGAAGGAGCTGACCTGTAAAATCCAACTGAAGAAGACTTCACTAAAATTTATTATTTGAACTTTTGACCTGCAACTCATTTGTAAACAGATGCAGCGTTTCTGAAATAGGGTTTTAGAAGCATACAGTGCTGGTAAAAGTGCGGACCCAACTACTAAGCTGCTGTGTTTTACATGGTGTCCGTTGTTTGTTGAGAAGAGAGGGGGGCTTCACGTGAAAACCTAATCATAGTTTCATAGTGATCAAAAACTAAAGAATAGAATAAGGTGTTTCAAGCCATCAGTTGAAGTGTTTGTGTTGCATCTCAATCTGCATTTTTGCCAGTGATTATTTTAAGGTAAAAAACAATAATGCAAGAAATGTTAAGGTTACTGACGAC